AGGGAATTATATTCAAACTGCTGACTGAGACTCATCCAGGCCAATGGCTATGTGGAATCCACTTGGCTTAACCACCAGCCAACTGCTGGCCCTGTTAGGAGGCTTTTAGAGTGCTCAGATATGAACTGATAAGAACTTCAGGAAATGGAAGGAGGAGTGGATCAGGACAAATAAGAAAACATGAACTTCTGCCTCTTGACTTTTTTTGGATAAGGGAACCGAAGCATAGAGTAGAGTGAGAGATGACAAGGATACTTCAAGTCTGAGTGGCAGGGAGAAGAACCGTCCCTACTGATAGACATAGAAGATGTCTAATGGAACTAGTGTCAGGGAAGGAGGCAGACAATTTCAGATTTTAATATGAATTGACAGCAGGACAATCAGGAAGGTGAGACTATGAAGCTATGTCTATAGAACAGAGCCCAGGATGGGGATGTGAGTGTGAGAAGCTGATGCCTGAAGAGAGTAGCTGAAAAAGTGAGAGCAACAGATGCAATTATAGGTGAAAGATTTAACCAGAGAAATGAGCTTTAAAAAAATAATAATAAAACAAAGGAAAATATTAAACTAAAAACAGACCAAGTTGAGCCAGACAATCAGCTGAATAGCTGAGTTCTGAATCAGCTAGATCAAGTGAACCCTCTATCTTATCTACATATAGAAAGAGAAAGCAAATATTTACATAAAACTGATAGTGCCAGGTCCCCATGAGCATTCATGAAAGAAAAAGATAAGAACCTAGATAAGTGTTTCACAAATGGAGCAAGCAAGCAGGTCACTAGGTTGTTTGGTCCTACAGTACAGCTCTGGAGTGTCATGGATCCATTTGTGAAAAGCCAAGAGTGACTTTGTTGATTTGCAGATCCTGTGGGTTCCATCTTTCTCACTTCATGAATGGCTCACATTATGCAAACTGTAGATGACAGACTCTTGAATACCTTTAAATTACCTACTTGGCTTTTAAAATTTGACTCTAGATTGGTACCTCTGCTGAAGGCAAAAGGGGCAGATGAACCAAGTTATTACACAGCTCATAAACATATGGATTTGTACATACTGTAGAAAGTCACACTGCTCCAAACACGGAAGCCTCATAACAGCATAAAACGATATAATGGTAACCAGCATGTTAGTCTTGCCCCACAAACCAACATCTTAATGCCATTCTACAGCATAAACTTGAGTTGTTGCTTTGTCAACATACAGTAATCATGGAAAATCTAGGGTACAGTGGAAAGAACATGTTTTGTGGAAAACAAAATGGCAATGTGTAAAGTAATTTATATTTGTGTCTCTAAGCATTCTTCACACATTATCTCTGCTTCCTCTCAAATGATCATTATTTTTTAATGTTTTTAGAAATGTGCTTTATCTTGCCATTAAGTATTTCCTCTCCTGTTTGCTAAAACTAAGTTTAGGTGATCTCGCTATACCATAAAGCTAGGTTGGAGAAACTTTTCTGTCTTATTAATCTTCTGATTCCAAATTAGAGGAATTTCATTTTGTTTATTTTTTTTTTCACAAATATTATCATAATCGATTATGGGATATTGACAAAATGACATTCCTACTATTTCACATTGAACAAGCTCAGTTACTTTAACTGAACCACATATAATGAAATATCCAGATATCAGGCTATTTATTTCTCATATAATGCATCACATCCAAAAAGTACATGTATATATTTAAACACATAATACTGCATTCCTGGTGTGGAGAAAACTGCAGACAGATATTTGTTTGTTTCTCTCAAATGTTCTACAATAGCAAAGTGCACTCCATCAACAACTTTGGAGGTGAATGGAAAGAGATCATCAAATTCAAGTGCCTGCCAGCTTGGTACAGATCTTAGACATTTCCTGGCTCATTTTTGTAAAAAAAAAAAAAAAAAAAAAAAAAAAGGCATCAGTTCTTCTCCTGTGCAAGGCAGGGTGCTGTGAGCTAGCTGGGTGCTGTCAGCCTCCCCAAATCTCTGTGAAACTTGAGCTCTCACACCCCAGGTCCCCTGTAGCTTACATGGCATTTTAGAATAATAGAGACCACACTCATTTTGAAAATGTGATTGTTTGGTTTTTCTTTGTTATTTAGTCAGTCACATTATGATTGGCAAAATAATGAAGAACATCAAAAAGCTGAGTCCCAGAGAAGGTAAGTTAGCAAAAACAGAACTTCGTGGAGACAAAAATAAACTAAATTTAAATGTGAATTCAAGATATTCAGTCAAAAAGGAGAACACTATCATTATCGTTTCCTGAGCTTCTTAGGCATGTGGGAACTTTGGGGTATTTTATCCTGGAACAACAGGACAAGAAACATCAGAAGTCTCTCCATGAAGAGGCAGTCAGGAGGCAGACCCAGGGCAAGGACACACGATGGCCAATGCGTGGAAACGGCAGAGCTCGCTCTCCACAGCTGCTCCTCAGCACATCGCCAGTTGCCATCAGCCCCAGGCAGGTGGTCCTTGATGGGTGCTCAGCACACTTGCCCCCATGAAGGGAGAGGTGGGCATTTGAAATGTAAAACAGAATAAACATATATTCTGGCTCCGCAATGCTTTTTCTTTCTTCTCAGAAAGAATTAACATTTGGGAAAATAGTTCAGTTCACTAAGAAATGCTAAAAGATTGGAAAGCAAGCTACTTCCTACTGCTCTGAAGATAAAATTTGCTTGGATGAAATATAGTTATCCTGTCCTACTCTTAGAATTACAGTCAAGCTATGGGTCCTTCCTGCAGAACAGCCAGTATATGCTATGGCCTGTTCACTCAGCCTTCCTGGATCTCTACTGTAGTCTGTAAAACTTAAGTTTTATTTACATTTTTAATTTTTTTAAAGAATTTTTTGTCTTAAGGTGCATGTGCTCGCTAGAGAGAGACAGAGATAGAGACAGTGAGAGGGAAAGTGAGAAAACATGTGCCATAGAGCATTGTTACACCACAATCCCTCCTCCTCCATTCTCCTGGGATTTGGGGCACTCAAGCACATGTGCCCAGCAAGATTTTTCAAGCCACCAGGTCCAGTACTCAAACCACAGTCGGCCATGTAAGAGGCCAGCAATGTCGGGACCAGCAGTTGGTGTAATGACTATGTCACTGGACTCCCATGTAGTCGACCACGGTTTGAGTCTGGACCCGGTGGCTTAAACTCACACTGGGTGCGTGTGCATGCATGCCCAAGATCCCGAGAGGAGAATGGAGGAGAAGGGATTGCAGCATGGCCATCCCCCCACCTGGGGGGCGGGGGAGACAGTGATTCTTGCTTTCTGTCTGTCTTTCTGGCGAGCGCATGCACCCTATCGCAAAAACCTCTCAAAAACAAAAAGAAGAATCCAGCAACATAACTGCTACACCATCTGCTGATCTGTTAATTAATTAATTAACTTATTTATTTATTTATTTTTACTGCCAGAGGGTACTTGTGCTCACCAGAGAGAAAAAGCATCCCCTAATGGGCACGGTCATACTACAGTTCTTTTTTCCTCTATTTTTTTTTTTTTACACTTTTTTAATTTATTTTTTTCCTCTATTTTTCTATCCCTTTAAAATTTTAGGAACACACACACATATGTCCAATGTGTTTTTGCAAGCCACCAAAGCCAGGATTCAAACCGCAGTTAGCCATATACGGTCAGGCTCCCTATAAACAGGGTTTAACCCCTGCACTACAAAACCTGCCCTCAAGTTTTAATTTCTTTTTTAATTTTGCCAGAGGGCACATGCACTCCCTGGAGAAAGACAGAGACAGAGAAAATGCAAGAAAACACCCTCCATGGAACGTGGTCACACCACAATCCCTTTTCCTCCATTTCTCTCTCCTTTTGGGACTTTGGGCATGCATGCACACATGCCTGAAGTGTTTTGTTTTGTTTTGTTTTCCAAGTCCCAAGATCAGGGAATTGAAATATGCGGTTGCCACATGGGATCCAACCACCTTAACCACCTAACCACAGACTGGCCCCAAGTTTTAAATTTTGAACTGAGAGAAGATGTTTTGCACAGGATGCTGATACAATGCGATAATGTGGCATTTTTTATAATGACAGACTATCAAGAATACATGTTCTTACTTTCCGTCACAGAACACTATCAGATGAGTGTGTTAGAATCGGCTCCAATTAGCTCCACTGTGGGAAGAGTGTTTGCCAAGGACTTGGATGAAGGAATCAATGCAGAGATGAAATACACTATCATTGACGGAGATGGTGCAGACGCCTTTGACATTAACACAGACCCCAATTTCCAAGTTGGCATCATCACTGTGAAGAAGGTAACCCAGCTCCTTTTTTCAAATCATTGCCGTGGATGCTTTCAATATATATGAAACACTGTTGTACTAATAAAAGGTGTCTTCATATAGTTTATGGAAAATGTAGATTATGAAAAAAATATGTGGATTTCAAAAAACTTTGCACCAAAATTATCTCATACTTTAATTCTTTTTCCACAAATTTTTTGAAGTCCTCTCCTATTATTAGGTTGCTGGGAAACTCAAGATGTATTTTTCCATGCAAAAATGTGTCATGACTTTCCCAATAACCCTGTACTTCAAATCCTCTAATAAAAGTTTTTTCCAATATTTAAAAAAATAAAAATATGAGGGGGGCAGCAAGTGGCACAGTAGTGACGCAACACTCTGCAATGCTACACCGCATGCGAATGTCTGCAATTGACACCTTGTGGACTCCTGTACATGTCAGACATTCATACATGTGTGCATGGGCTGGCTGAGGCTGGTGAATTGTGGCACGAAGATGCTCTTTAGGTGCCCATCTCTTCACCTCTTTCAGTCTCTCTCTCTCCCTCTCTCTACCACTCTCTCCCTCTCTCTCTATAGTTGGTCCCTCTCTCTATAAAGAGAGAGGGAGAGAGAGAGAACAGACATCATTCCTCCTACTTAGCCACTTTTAAAAACAGCTGTTGCTCAATTCTCTAATGATCTTAATGGCCTGATCAATGAACAGCACACTTGAACAACACACATTTTTCACCACAGTGTTCCATAAATAACAATAAAGCCATAACACTAATTCCGAATCAATAACTAATGTGCAGGGATCTTTTTTAATTGCTTCTTAGTGATCCATAAACGTTCATTAAACTTGAACAAGTATTATCAAACATAGCTGCTAGGTGATCACTTGAAATTCCTTTGTTTAATGATAAGGTACCAAGTTTTCCAAATGTAAGCTGCTGTTTCTTACTATGACCTAAAGAACATGCATATATACTCACTAGAAAATAAAACTTTTTAAAAGCTAAAGCTTTAACACCCTAGTAAATATATATCTGATGAAATACATTAATTTAAAAGCTCATTGAACTCTTCCTTCTCTATTTTGAATATAGTTTAAAACTGAAGATTGTTGAACAAATAGTTATGGAGTGCCTACTATGCGCCAGCCATTGTTCTAGGTATTTAAGGTAGAGAGTAAATAAAACAACAGATGTCTCTGCCCTCATGGAACTTACATTCTAGGAAGAAGAAGACAATCAAAACACCAAGTCATTCAGCAGAGTAGCACAGGAGATGATCAATTCTGTGAGCGAGGGACTTAAAGCAAAGTAAGTGAGATCAAGAGAGCCAAGATGACTTTCAATTTAAATTGGGTGACCTCGCAGAAAAGTGACATTTGTGTAAAGATTTAAATTGAACAGAGACAGCACAGAATTGGTCAGGTGGACAGTGCATGACCCTGAGAGGTGCTCTATAAATGACTTGTGGTGAGAAGTGCCCATGTAAGTGCTGGAAAGGAGGGAATACACATGGAGATACTGAAGAAAGTATTCCAGGAGAAAGGACAGCCAGTGTGAAGGCCCTAAAGTGGGATCATGCCTGATGCGGTTCAAGAACAGCAAGGGGCTTTTCCAAGACTAAATGGAAGGGAAGATGCTTACAAGATGAAGTTAGAAAAGTAACAAAAGGGCCAAATTGTATAGGACCTTACAGGCTGACAGTAAAGGCTTTGATTTTTGGTCTAAGTAAAATAGAGAACTGGAGGATTTCAACAGATGTTTGATATGGATAGGCTTTTGTTATGAATAATTACTCTGTAGGCTTTGTACAGAAAAAACATGAGGAGGCAAGGGTGAGCTGAGGGACCAGCTGAGGGGCTACTGTAATAATCCAGGTAAGAAACAACAGTGGTTGGGTGTAAAGTAGAGGGAATGGAGGGGGTGAGATGTCAGAATCTGTATATATTTTGAAAGGACAGCAAACGGGGCTCCCTAAAACATTGAGTGACATTATGAAAGAAGAAAGGTCAACTGAGCAACAAGATTAGAATTGCTGTTAACTGGGACAGGACAGCCTGCAGGGAGAGCAGGTGACAGGATGTGGCAAGTATTGGGATTCAGTTCTGGACAGGTTAGGTGTGCAATGTCTATTAAATACTCAAGTAAAAATATGTGGTGGCTTTGCTTTTGGGAGTAGGGTGATTGGAGAAGAGTTCTGGGTTAGAAAAATAAACGTGGGAGTCATAATCATACAGATGGTATTTCAAGCAAGTAAAATGAGATGAGGCCCAGCCATAGTGATGCAATGGTAGTGCAATGCTCTGCAATGGTGGAAGCCACATGGAAGACCAGAGGATTAAGTTCCTCAGTCAATCTGTACATGTTGGGCAGGCACATACCTGGCTAGTTTGAAGACTGGGGACGGCAGAGGTCATAATATGAAACCCTGTTGCATGTATCTTTCTGTCTCTGTCTCTGACTCTGTCTTTAAAAGAGGGGAAGGAACAAGGGAAGGAAAAAGAGAGCAAAGAAACTAAAAATAAATAATAAATAATAAATAATAAATAAAAAAATTAGAACTGATCCCATAATGCAATGGTTAAGCACTGTGCATAAAAAGCCAGATTCTGGGACCAGCAGTTGGAGTAATGGCTATGTCACTGGACTCCCATGTAGCCAAATGCCATTGGAGTCCTGGACCCAGTGACTTAAACTCACACTGGGCACATAAAATGCACCCAAGATCTTGAGAGGAGAAAGGATAACGGTGTGGCCAACCCCCCCGGGGGGGGAGGTTCTTGCTTTCTGTCTCTCTGTCTTTCTGGCAAGTTCACGTACCCTACAGCAAACACCTCTCAAAATAAAAAATTAAAAAAAGAACCAGCTTCCATACAGCCAGCTGAGTTTCAAATCCCAGCCTTCGTGGCCTGAAGTATGTACTAAGCATGTGTGCATGCATGCCCAAATTCTAGACAAGATGAAGAGAAAAAAAGATTGTAGCATGACCATGTCTGCCTTGAGGGGGCCAGTATTCTTACTCTCTCTCTCTGGCAAGCACACATACCCTTTGGAGAATTTAAAAAAATAAAATAAATAATGTAATAAGATTCCAAGGATGAGTATAGACAGAAAGAGGACAGTTAAATGAGCCTTAAGGGACCCCAACATGAAGAGGTCAGAAGAGCGAGGGTAAGCAATGGGGGACAGGAGGAAAATCAAGGGAGTGTGGTATTTTGAAGGCATAAAGAATATGTTCCCAAAAGAAGGAAGTGATCAGCTGTGACAGCAATGCTGAAGATCAAACAAGAATGTTGAAAATTAACCAAACAAGTTAAGAACATGGAGGTCATTGATGACCTTGACAAAAGAAACAAGACCACACAAAGAATGTGGCACACGTCAATGTGTCTTTATAACCTCCTTCCATGCTGCTTCACAGAGCTGAATTAACATTGCTTTAGAAGAGAAAAGATGATTTCACATGCTTATTCTGTCTTCATTTAAAGTGCAATCAACTACAGTAAAGGAACAAATATATCCAGAATTCTGCCAATCAGAATTTTTTATAACCAGCACACAATGACCTCAAACAGTGCAAACTGCTTAGATTAACTTCTAAATAATCAAATAAATCTGAATGCAATTTAAATATTGTAATTTTTATTTCATTCTCATTCTCTGAGAACTAATAACATATACTAAAATTATAAAAAGTGACTAAAAATAATAATACCTAGTGTAAGTCAGAGGATTAAGAACATTCCCTTAGCATGTGGAATGTCTCAAGTAAACGAATACCTTGGTAAACACGACTCATAGGTAAATGCCCAAAATTCAGAATAATTTATTATTTATTTAATAACTTATTCAGAATAATTAAAGTATTTCTCTAATGCACAAATTTTATTCAATAAATTAAGCAATCATAAAAAAAGCTTTTGAGATCCTTAAAATTTAAATTTTGACCCAGCCACTATGGCACAACGGTAACACAAGTGCCTTGCAAAGCTGGAAGCCACATGGTCATCCCTGGACCAGCCCAAAAATGTGGGCATTCAGAATACTAAGAAAGGAGTGGGAGGGCTGGAGAAACAGGATCATGGTATTATAAGACCCTGTCAAGGATGTTTCTCTCTCTCATGTGTATGCAGGCATCATCATCATCATTATGTGTGTGTATGTGTGTGTGTGTGTGTGTGTGTGTGTGTGTGTGTAGTAATATATATGTAAATATAAAAGTAAATGTTATATACATTATATATATAATATATATGTAATAATTGTGCACTATATGATGGAAGATGGGAGACTTGCTGAAGACTAGGAAATAGGACAACATCATGTTCATACAGAATAAAGAATATTCTGAAAATACATACATATTAGGTTGCCTGGAAGGTTATAATGTATTTTTCTATGTTTTTCTATGCAAAAATGCAGCATGATATTCCTGATACACACACACACACACACACACACACACACACCATTTATATGTATGCATATATATAATCTTTAACTTAAAGTAATATGTAATTCTAAATAATAAAATATTTATGTCAAATTATCACAGTATAATTCAGGCTTTATTAAAAGCTATTCATTTTTGAAAATCTATTAACTATTTCAATTTTGTATCTGAAAGAAACCTCAAAATGTCTTTTCTCTAGCTCCCTTACCTGGAGAAAAGATGAAACTTCATAAAACATAACACTGTCTTCCACTGTCATTACTAAAACTATATCCATGTTTGATCAAAGCATATATCAATTTTGCTAAAGTCATTTTGATTTCTTTTAACTTATGAGCTGCCAGAAAATGGAATTAAGAAAGAGGTCAATAAGTTGGGTAGATGGACAAGTCATGTAGTAACTACTTTAGAGGCTATTGACTGCTTAGTCTATACCTTCGAAACAGCATTCACTCAGATGTCTACTCAACACCCATCTTATCACTTGATCATTAATAATGTCATAGAAAATTGAAACAAAAATTCTGCCTTTGATTTATTTCCCTTAGGACTATTATTTGTCT